CCCCAGGACGGCCCCCCTCCCCACGTCAACGCCCTCCCCACCGTCGCCCTGGGAACCAGACAGGAGCACCTTCTCCAAGGACGTGGCAGCCCCGGGCACACCTGAGACCCCCGCTGTGGGGCCTGGACAGGCCGCCGTCCGCAGCGTGCACCCGTGGGGCTGTCGGCCACCCCAGAGGACAGAGGGCCTGCTCTGGGCCCAGAGACCCCGGTGCCGCCCCCCAGCCCGGGGGCTGGCCCCCTTCTCGAGAGCTGCGGGGGCCCCTCGAGGACTGTCAGTCCCTTCCTTCCGTCTCCCCATGAACCACAGCAGCGGGGCGGGTAGGGGGGGCCTCTGCACCAGCAGCTGACACCCCCGGGCCCCCGCTCTGAGCACAGACGGTGCAGCCTGTCCTCACCACGCCCCGGTCGGCATCTAGGCTGGAGCTTTCACAGCCCTACCTCCGCTGCCCGGCCGGCCGGAGTGAGAGAGGAGGCTGAGCCGCTTCTCCAGCTGCAGGGCTTCCAGGGCCTCCTGCGCCACCCTTTCCTCCAGGGCGGGGCCCCCAGGGCTCGGGTCTGCGGCAAAGCAGGGTGTCGGTGAGGACATGGCCCCAGGCGTGTCGCAGCAGCGTCCTCCCTGTGACCCCAATGCCATCGGAGCTGCGTGGACCCTGGTCCAGCCCCAAAGCCAGGACGGAACCCCTGGGAGCCCCAGCCACCGCCCCCCCCCATGCCTGCACACCAGCCACTGGACCCTGAGCTCAGGGTACCCCAAACATCCCGGCACAGGTCCCCTGGCCACATCCTGTGTCCTGGGCCCAAGGAAAGGACAGCTCCTCGACCACCAGCCGATGTCCCTGGCCCGAAGCTGACAGTCCCTGCAGGGGGAGGTCAGGACGCCAGGACACCCTCCTGCGGCCAGCCGGTCTGCAAAACGCTGGCACTGGACGGACTCGCGGCCTCACCCCTCGCCCTCCCCGAGCCTGGCATCAGCATCTGCACCCCAGTCACGATGGGGCCCAGGTGGGAACACACAGAACATGTACTCAGGGTGGGGGCGGGAACTCGGAGCTCTGATCTCTCCCTTCCTCCTGGCAATTCTGTCTGTCTTGAGGCAGGTCCTGCCTCCGGGCCTTGGGGCCTGAGTGGGCCCCCGCAGAGCCGCAGTCAGCTGGAGGAGACACCCCAAGATCCCCGAGGGTTAAGGCTGCACACCCATTGGAGGCCACGTCTCAAGAGTCCCTGACGATCACAGGCCTCGGTGGGACGCTAGCCAGGCTCAGAGAGCAGAGCCCCACCAGCTCCATCCACACCCCACGTGTGCACCCCCGCCTGTCCACACGCTCCCCACCCACGCCACCCACGCCACCCCTGTGGCTGCAACGCGGGAAGGTGTAGCAGAGGGCACAGCATGCCACACAGCAGAGCCTGGGCAGCAGGGCCCTGGTCCCAGGAGCCCTGTCCCTGCATCCATCACCCGCGCCTCCCTCTGACTCACTGTGGGCTGGGGGCCCAGGGGCTGAGGCGGGGAAAGGGGGTCCTGGCACAGCCCCAGCCTCCCTAGAAGGTCCACCTGACCCCCGTCCGGCTGTGGGGCTCATGCAAGAAGGCCGCAGCTGAGAGCTCAGCGACCACCTGCTGCCTGACACAGGCCTTGGTCTCCCACCTGGACCAGGGGACAAGCGCCACCTCGCTGGGGCCAGGGCAGCAGCAGCAGTCCCAGGTACCACTGCCCAGAGGGCCTCAGTGCAGGGCAGCGGCGATGCCCAGGGCCCGCCTTTGTCCCTCCCAGGGCAGCTGGCCCCGAGCGGGGGGGATAGAGCTCACCCGGCGCAAGGAAGTGCCCGGCTAGCATGCCCTCCGGGGGCCGGCAGCATCCCTGGCCCAGGACTCAAATGACAGGGGCGCCCTGCCCACGCCGCGGAAGCGGGGAGGCCAGGCCAGCTCAGAGCGGCAGGCCCCCACCCCCACCACCCCAACGTGCAGGCACCGAGACCCCACCTCACAAGGCGGCCTCCAGCCCGAACACCGGCTCAGACGGGGCCAGAGAGCTGACCCCAGCGACCTTGGGCAAGGCTCTCAGCCAGGTCTGGGAGGCAGGCCCCGCTCCGGTCTTTGGGGGGGGGGGGGGGGTGGTGTGTGGTTCCAGGCTCTGGCCTCGCGCTGGTCCACCCAGTATGGCCGCGGTAACTCGTCCCAGCCCTGAAGCCGCGGCCTCTGAGCATCTTGTGAAAAGGGCTGTGCGGGTGTGAGCGCCCCCCACCCTGGGAGCCCCGCGGGGGCTCACAGCAGCAGCCCCCCCAAACCCTCGGCCAGGCCAGGCATCCCCTCCGCCCACTACGCACTCACCTGGAAGAACAGGCCGCAGCCCGAAGGGACCCTTGGTGGGCGAGATGCCTCGGACAATGCAGTCGAACAGAAAGCTGATCTGGTCTCCCTCGGTGGAGGACAGGAAGAAGACTCCGGCCCCTGAGAGGGGAGGACAGACCCCGCTGTCAGCCTGGCCCAGGGCATCGGTGGCATGGGCTGCCAGATGGAGGCTCCCACTGAAGCCAAGCAAACCCACGAGTCCCCCCGCAACCCCTGCACCAGGGCGATGCGAGCCTCTTCCCCGCCAGGGAAAACGCACAACTCGCCCAGGAGGCTGTGGCCACACGCCGCTCTCCCAGGCCTGCAGGCACCGGGCCCGGCTGAGCAGCCTGGACGGGGTGGATGAGAACAATGGTAGAGGGTGGCCGGAGGCCAAGGAGGGCGTCATGTCTGCACCGAGCGCCCAGCAGCCACTTCCCATGCCCCGTGCTCCTCTGAGGGGTGGCAGGGGCGGGTGCACCCCCCAGGAGGCGGCTGCGGGGCCTGGCTTCCTCACCTGGGGCTGTGCTGAGCGGCCTGGCCCCCTCCGAGGCCTCTCCTCTTCCCGGGCGTGTTCTCAGGGTGGGGAGCCCTGGAGCACCCCCACCCTGGCACCCCCACCCTGGCACCCCCACCCTGGCACTCCCACCCGCAGAGAGGGTCAAAGGAACACTCACATCTTGAGATACAGGAAGGTCACTGTGGCTCACGCAGGAGTTAACTTGAATTTGATGCTAACCAAAGCCGCCTGTTTGCAGCCTATCAAACACACTGTACATCTGCTTTGATCATAAAAGCAAAGGGCACCCTGACCAGATGTAAAAACGTCCGTGTTAAAGAAGACAGTGCTGGCCCTCTATCCAGGGTGACATCCCTCCCCAGGTGCCAAGGCCACGCTGACTCACTGGGCACAGGCCGGTCTGTTCTTCTGTGGGGAGGAGGAAGCATGAAAACATGTAACCCTGACTTCTTTAACCTTCTTCGTTCTGACAAGATAAACTCCGATAAAGCCGCTGAAAACCCCTGCTTCCGCAGAGCCATTTGGAAGCAGGCTTACGGGTCAGTCGTCAGCTGGAGTTCGAACAAGACTCTTCTCTGTTCTTGTGACTTAAGTTTGTTGATCACTGTTTTTGACAGCGGGAGGCCAGCTAAGATCCTGGCCCCGGGGGGACTGGGGGGCTGCGGGGGGCGCCTGGGCCTGTGGGAGCCTGGGTGGAGCCCGCTGGCGTGAATGGAGTCCCGCGGCCGCGTGAATGGGGACACCGGGTCCCGCGGGCCACACGCCCGGCGTGCCATCACCGCCCAAGAATCCCTCGTGCCTCACCGCCGTCTGCCCAAAGAAAGGCTGGCCCCTGCGTGGAGGAGGAGGGCACTCGGGGTGGGGCGGGCAGGCCGGGGAAGCGGCACGCTAAAACCGGCCTGGTCACGCTCGCCCGCCCCGGATTCCAGGGCCCCGGGCCAGCCCCACACGTGGTGACGCCGCTGTGCCCCTGGGCGGCCCCCCCAGGGCCCTAGCTGGTGACACTCCCGCTGGAGACGCCAGGAAACAGAGGCCCGCACAGGCACCGCGCAGCCCCGGCCAGGAGCAGAGCAGCGACACCCTGCCCGCCCGCCGGGCCCCCTCTAGTGCCCCCTGAGGCTCGCTGCCCACCAGGCTGGGCGGGGTCTCTCCCTCTCCCGGCCCCGGGGAGGGGGTGCTGCTGACCAGGAACTCAAGCCGGGACCTTGGCCGGCAGCGGGCGGACAGGGAGGAGGCCCTGTCCCGGCCGCCCCGCTCAGCTGGGGCCAGGCCTCTAATCCCGAGCTTATGGTCAGCTGGCAGCGGCGCTGGCACAGCCAGTCCCCCGACTATAAAAAACTGCGTTACAGGAGGGAGCGGAGCCGGCGGCATTCCGCGGGCGTCTGCGGGCTCCTGCTCCCGCACTGGCCGCCAGCCCCCGTCCTTGGCAGCCCCAGGGGCTCCCGCGGGGGACGTGAGTCTCTGAGGGGGCCCACCCGAGCCTTGCGACCGAGAGACAAGGACGCCCAGACCCAGCGGCGACCGCTCACCACCCCGGGCTCCCCTCTCCATCCCAGGCTTTGAGGAGCTGGCACACCTCCCCGGGGCGGCCACATCCGCAAGCCCCCGCCCCGCCCTCGCCCAGAGCCCCTCAGCCACACACAACCACCCTCTCCTGTTGACTCTGCTCCTGGGACGTGGCCTTTCCTGGCCCCGGCCCCTGTGCACTCGGGGACGCTTTCACGGGGCCAGGCGCCAGGAGCGGCCCCCACTGGGTGTGGATGGGAAGAGGGGGGTGCAGGCAGCCAGGCCCCTGCCTTCAGACGCCCCTCCCCAGGAAAGCGTCTCCATGTTTCCTGTTTGCCGTCCGCGAGGGGGGAGGAAGCCGAGAGCCTGGCCCGTTTTGCCTTGTGCAGGTGTGGTCCACAGTCGCTGCAGGTGGTGGCCGCAGCCATGAAACTAAAAGACGCCTGCTCCTTGGAAGGAAGGTTATGACCANGGGGCAGGTCCCCTCCCCTGGGCTCTGGACCATAGGAAGTGGCAGAGGGGACACTCTACAGGGTTTGAGGCCCAGGCACGAGGGGCTGACAACCCCCAGGTTCCCTGTCTTGGAACCAGCCACCCGGGTTGTCCTGTTGGAAGGTAAGGCCCGGAGGAGAACTGAGGCGTCCCAGCCAGTAGCCAGCACCAGGGCCCCAGGCCACGCCTGAGGCCACCCACCAAATGCCACTGCCCAAGTGACTCCAGTCGACTGCTCAGAGCAGAGGGAGCCCCGCCCAGACTGCTGATCCGCAGAGTCGCAGCCAGGAAATAGCGCTAAGGTTTGGGGGTATCTGTCTCCCAGCAATAAGTAACTTGGAAAATTAAGATTCGGAGCAGAGTGCCCTGCCCGGTAGGAAGCAGCTACCTGCGGGTTCATGGCCACCTTTTGCTCTAGAGACAGACGCTATCAGTCATAAGGGGCTGCAGCAAACCTCATTCCTGTCATAAATGCAATTGCTCCCCGGGAAGAAGATCTCCAGGGGAGAAGCATCACGTTCAACTCCAAGATTCACCAGCCATGAGAAAGAGAAACTTCCTTCAAATATCCGATGAGCCCGGTTAGATCCGGGCTTTCATCTCTAGGCTCCAGGCCTTTGTCCCTGGATCTCGGTACCTCCAGCTCCTCATAGAATCCCACTCTCTGCTAGAAAAGACCACACAGCAAAGGCCAGTCGGGGACAGAGACTTTGAAGGACTTCCCCGCTGAGAAGATTCTAGAAAGCTCCGTCCACACAGCCCTGGTTATCAATCAGAAAGCTGGCAGAGCTAACTGAGGCTTGGGATGTTATTTTACAGTTTCCTAATAGAGTGAAACATCTACTGATTAAAGTTTCATTTGTCTCTGCCTCTATTTTGGGAGAAAGAAAGTGCAATGAAATAAGTTCATGTGAAATGAAGTTGGAATCTCACCTGATGGTTTCATACCCACTAGGAGTGGGTATTTAAACCTATTTAAATAACAGGTGTGCTATTGAAACAACACACAGAAACAAAACAGAAAACAAGAGCTGGTGAGGGTCTGGAGAAACTGGGACCCTCGCACACTGTTGGTGGGAACGTAACATTGTACAGTCGTGTGGAAAGTAGTTCGGCAGTTCCTCAAAACATTCCACCGAGAACCACCATCTGATCCAGCAAGTGTATTTCTGGGCACGCACCCAAAAGAATTAAAAGTAAGGTCTCCAAGAGATATTTGCCTGCCCGTGTTCACAGCAACATCATTCACAATAGCTAAAATGTGGACGCAGTCCAAGTGTCCATCGACAGATGGATGGATAAACACAATGTGGTCCGTCCATACAACGGAATCTGCTTCAGCCTTAAAAAGGAAGGAAATTCTAACACCTGCTGAACGCGGATGAGCCGTGAGGATGCTGAGCCAAGTGCGATAGGCCAGTCACGAAAGGGCAAATCCTGAGTGATTCCACTCATGTGAGGTCCCCAGAGTTGTCAAAATCAGAGACAGAAAGCAGAATAAGGGGTGCGGGGCTGGGCAGGGCGGGGAGCAGGGAGCTGGTGTCTGGGGACAGAGTTTGGGACGGTGACGAGGCTCTGCGGACGGCGGTGGTGACGGGGGCACGGCCCCGTGAACGAACGTGCTCGCTGCCACTGAACTGCAGAAAAGGCCTACGTGATGCAGTGTGCTCCCTGTGGGCTTGGCCACAGTCGACCAAAAACAAGGACAGACACCACACAGGCTCCGTCCCGTCCTGCAGCGAGCCACCTCCCATCCCCACCCTGCCACCACCCAGCAGGATGCAGCCATGCGGTCCAGGCACGCCACATCCTCGGAGCAGCTCCTGCTAAACGCCAGGAGCTCATCCTCATCACCCTGACAATGCCCCCTGCACACAGGAAGGGGGGCACCCAACCACCCCTGCCCAGAGCAGACACCAGAGGCATCAGCCTTGACCCTGGATCTGTCCCTGGGCGGATGCTGGCCTCCAGCTCCCAGTCACCCACCGACACCCTGCTCCAGCCAAGGCCACTCGCTGGTGACCCACCTTCCTCCCGTGCTCCCCCACCCCTCCCGCAGGGATGCCCTGGGCACCGGCCCCGGTTAGGGGCCCCTCAAGGAGAGCCTGGGGCCTTGCTTTCCTCTGCGTCCCCCCAAGTGCTGGCTGAAGGTCCTGCTCTGAAACGGTGTCCTGAATGGCCCGGCCACAGAGAGGGCCTGCCCCTCCCCACCTCCACCCCGTCCCCCAGGGGTGCAGGAGGACAGCAGAGCGGGTCAGCAGGTGTCCCCACTCCTGCGTTGGGACAGGGAGCTGAGATGCAGGCCGGGGAACAGCAGGTGGAGACCCAAACCCAGACCCCACTCACTGCACGGTGCCCGCCATCCCCCGGAGCCTGCCAGGGTGAGACTCAGAGGCCTGGGCAGGAAGGACACTGCTCAGACAGAGTGCCCACCACTGGGAGAATTCTGCCAAGCACACCTGCCAGCCCGGAGCCATCACGAAAGCGGGGGCTGGTGCCACCGGCCCAGTCCCTGCAGGGCCAGTCTGGCCAGCAGAAGTCTCTCCCTGGGAGTGTGAGACTCGGGGTCCCCTCTAGGGGACACTGTGACCCACGGCCCAGG